TGTTTTGGTGATTGTCTATATATAGAACTTCAACATTAAAAAGTTTCATAATTTATTTCAACTGTTTACGGTATTTTCTATGGTGGCAAAGTCAATGTAATTTATCATAATTTTTTAAAAAAGTGATTTTTCATAGGCTACTGCATGTGCTAAATTAATTTTTAATGCATAATTTGATTATTCTAACAAGTGGTGACCCTAAGTACACAAAGGTAACAAAAAAATCCACTTTCTGTAAGTATTAAACTGTAACAAGTTAAAGTTTAAAGAAATATTTATAATGTTGCAATATTTAGCAGCTTTAAGGTACATAAACTCAAAAACTGTAAAAATCAGTCAAAAACAACTGCAATAATGGATTAAAGCGTGTACATGAAATAAATGTGAAAGAAGAAGTACGCCATTTTTTTTCAGTGGTTATATTAAAATCTTTTCAATTGTTTTGTATTTTGTTTACAACATGTTGTGGTTTCAAAAAAATGTATTAGTTTTTTGATTTAACTTAAAATTAGTTTTAAAAATGACAAAAGAAGATGACCTAAGAGAAAAAATTATGCACAAATGTTTGGAAAATCCCAATAGTAGCTACAATTCGATAGCAAAAGCATTGCAAATACATCTATACACCGTTAGTCGTGTAACCCAACATTTTTCTTTTACAAAATTGATCAAACGTAAATCTGGTGGCGGAAGAAAGAAGGGTTTTAAAGATAAAAAACTAGTTAGTAAACTGGTTAACAATTTTAAGACTAACCCAAGCCTTTCACTAAGGGAGCGTGCAAACATTTATGGACTTTCTCATAGTTTTGTTGAAAAAGTTCAAAATAAACATGGTTTTCATTCTTTCAAAGCACAAAAAGTGCCCAACCGATATGAAACTCATCAAAAAAGTGCAAAAACCCGCCGCAGAAAGTTTTATGGCAATTTTATTTCTAAAAGTTTCTGTATTATCAAAGACGATGAAACTTATATCAAGTACGATCATCAGCAAATTCTATTATATTATTGTCTATTATATTGCCAAATGTAGAGGAAAAGCAGATAAGAAATTTAAATACATAAAACATGACAAGTTTGCTAAAAAAAGTCTTGATTTGGCAAACTATTTGCAGTTGTGGCAAAATATCAGCACCTTAAATTTCTCAGTACACACTTTCGGATCAAATATATGCTAAAGAGAGTTTACAAAAACACCTTTTACCTCTCATTAAATTGCACAATAAGAGAACTGTGTTCTGGCCAGATTTAGCTTAAATTCATTATTACAAACTAGCTTTGGAATGGTATTAAAACAATAATGTGAAATTTGTGCCTAAAACAGAAAATCCTCTAAACTGCCCAGAATTAAGAGTTATTGAAAAGTTCTGGGTAATTACAAAAAAAAAAAAATGAAAAAAACTTTGCAGAAATATTAAATATATAAAAATATCATTTAAAAAAGCATCAAATGGCTTCAATTCTTATTCTGTGCACAAGCTTATGGATACCACCAAAGCAAAAGTTCGAAATTTTATTAGATTCCGACAGGAATAATTTGATTTTTTTTTATAATTGATCTTCTTATATTATTGTATTAAAGTTTTTACTTGGTTGGAAATAAAAATTGAAGAGTACTTTTTTTTAGTTGTTTTTCTACTTTTACATTTATTTCGTGTACACACTTTATTTGGGTGAAAAACTATTACCCTACAAAATTTCAGGTGATCAACATCTTTATTTAAAAAGTTATGGTATATCAAAAATCAAAAAAAACTGCTGTAAGCTACTGATACACAAATTTTTCCGATTTTGGTAATTTTTAATTCATTCATAACTTTTGAACAAATTGGTCAATCAAGCTGAAATTTTCTGGATTGTATTTTTGGTCAAAATTTAAAGCAATTCTGAGGTGGTAACCTGGGAGCCTTTAAGTGATTTGATATAGAATACACTGTTCTCTAAATTGACCGCCAGGTTAAAACTCTCCCCACTCCTGATTTTTTTGCATTTAATTAATCATATGCATTAGTAAACACAATTTAAGTTGTCAGAAAAATCTGAACTAAGTGCTAAGTACATATTTTTCAATATTATAACTTATAATTTTTCGCTTTTTGATTAAAGTCAGCCATTATGGTGGTTAAAATAAACCATCAACATTTATTAACTTCGTTTACAAAAAACACATATAACAAATAAATATATAACACATATTATATTAATGCTACTGATTATTTAAATTAAAATTAACTACAGCAGATTTTAGCTTTTTTCCATAATTTTTGTGACCTATAGTTCTTTTATAGTTCACCCAAGTTTTTTTAAATTTGTGGTGAACAGCTTCACCACATTGTTCTGCATAGTTTCCTAAGCTAATGTTATTGTGTTCTATAAAGGGAAGAATATGACACACTAAAATATGTATTTTCCAGGAAACTTTCAAATCATAGTCAAAAATATCTTTTGCATATAATTGGAGACTTGAAAAAGAACATTTGAAGTCTTTGATTTTAGCAGAAATATCTGCACCCATTTCTAAACCAAACACTGCTGATTATACTAATGAAAACTTACGCAAACAATTAATTATTGGTAAAATATCAATCGTTGCAGTTAAGGTAACATCCCTCTCCAAAACATCTAACATTTTTTATAAAATTTTTATAAATAAATTTTTGACCACCATGTATGCAACAGTATTTGATAAAATAGTATTTAATATCAGCTGCCATAAAAGCAGCTTTTATAGGAATGGATTTCCTAGCAGCCTCAATAGTTCTGGCATCACTTACCCACAACTTTATAAAATAAGTATCTTCGTAATTCCTGATAGCTTCTTTTAAAAGTGCAAATGATGCAAAAGAGTCAGAGCATGAAAAAGCCATAATTTTGCTAGAAACAAAATCAAAGTAAGTTATGAAAATAACTGTAAATTAAAAAATTATGAAAATAACTGTAAAAAAAGCGCTTTTATTGGTTAATAAATTCTATTTTGACACGTGACATTTTAAGCCAATAAAACAGACTTTCGGTAGGCAAATTTTTATTTTTTTGGCTACCGACTTTCGGTAGGCTATCCACGGCGTATATATATATATATATATATATATATATATATATATATATATACATACAATATATAAGTATATTATATAAATAACATATATAATATAAATAATATACTATATAAATAATATATACTAAGACCAATTCTTCTAACGAAAATATTTTTAAACAATCCATTCCCCTTTATCAAGATGCATTATCTAAATCAGGTTTTATCTGCAAATTAGCTTACCATTCAAATAAAAAGCCGATCCAATTCAAAAATCAAAAGCGAAATATAATCTGGTACAACCCACCTTTCAGTACAAATGTTGCAAAAAAAATAGGCAGTTGTTTTTTGAACATGCTAGACATGCACTTTCCGTTGTGTCACAAACTTCGTAAGATATTTAATCGAAATACCATTAAAAAAAGCTACTCATGTATGCCAAATATCAAGTCGATAAATATAGCCAAGATAAAGATGAGGGAAAAACATGCAACTGTGTCAACAAATCCATTTGTCAAAAACATCGTTTATTAAACCACTGTGTCGTCAAATAAACCTGATTACAAAGAAAAAGTATATTTTGGCTTATGTAAAACTCCATTCAAATCTCGGTATGCTAATCACCTGAAATCATTTAAAATTAATAGATATTTAAAAATTTATTAAAACCAAATAAAGGTAATGGAGTTGATGATGTAAGTAGCAATATAAGAATTAAATCAATATTTTGTTTAAAAACTCCGCTTCTGCACATTTTCAGTCTTTCAATAAAACAAGGAATCTTTCCTGATAAACTAAAGGTTGCAAGAGTGATGCCGGTTCTAAAATCTGGAGATACAACATGTATTGCAAATATAGACCTATTTCAATACTACCTTGCTTTTCAAAAATATTAGAACATATTATGTATAAAAGACTGTATTATTTCTTAGATATTAATAACATTCTTTATAATAAACAATTTGGATTCAAAAAGGGTCACTCTACTGATCAGGCAATTGTTCATCTTGTTCATGATATTCTTAAATCTTTTGATGAAAATAAATATACTTTAGGCGTATTTATTGATCTCAGCAAGGCTTTTGACATCATATTTTATTTACCAAATTAAAAAACTACGGTATTAAACACTCGAACCTTAAATGGTTTAAAAGCTATCTGTCAAATAGGCAGCAATATATTTCTCATAATTACGGAAAAACTAACAACATAAACATATCTTGTGGAGTACCACAAGGATCTATACTAGGAACGCTCTTATTTCTAGTATATATCAATGATCTAAGTTAAATATACTAAATATCTACCAAATAAATATTTATCATCTTCTAATTTTTATGTTCAAAATTAATAAAAGTATTATTTCAAAAACTTTTGATCTCATTTTCAAAACTAATCAGAATAAATACTTAACTAGACATTCAAGTAACACCAACATACAACCCATAAGTTATTATGCGGCAACTGAGTTTTCAATTTCAATTAGAGGACCAAAGGCATGGAATTATAATACTAACATCTGAACTCAAAACTCCTACATTGTTAAAAGAGTTAAGGCCAAACTTAGACAGTTATTGCTAAAAAGTGATCTACCACAAAACTATTTCTAAAAAGCAAAATATCCTTATGATTGATCTATCAATTAAACAAGGAGTATGTTAATATTAGAAACGCTTGAGTTGAATGCACTTTTGACTTTTCAAATTTATTTATGTTTTTGTTGTTTTAATATGCGTTGTTGTTCTTTTTACTTTTTATTTTTTTCTCCTTATGAATATGTTTTATTTATCACTTTACCAGTTTTACGTTTGTTTATTTTATATTGTCAACGGAAATGCTTATTTTTAAATTAAACTTTATATTTACGGAATTTATCAAGGGGCTTGGCGATAAGACATATTAGTCTTCTTCTCGCCCCTGCAACATATATATCTTGTTATTAAGATACAGTTTGTATATATTAAAGGTTAGCAAAAGATTTGAGAATAATGAGTATTTTGAAAAAAATCCAAATGGAAGATCACATCAACACAGCAAATCAGTTATAAGAGAAGTTACAAGTAAATTTTATTGTTTCCGCTTGACTACATGCACTTAGTATATCTTGTATGTATGCATAGATGCATAGCTGCTACTGACTGCTGCATTTCCTTAAAGAAACGATCAAAGGAAAAAATACTGGAAAGTTGTCAGCTAGTATCATTAATCAAATTTCTGAAAATCTTGTTGCTTTGATTGGTAAATTACCAAGTGAGTTTGTCAGACAGCCAAGAACACTGAATGAACTTAATCAATGGAAAGCTACCGAATTCAGATCTTTTGCTTTATACTGGTATAGTTGCATTGAAAGGCTTCGTTGACATTCTGTTTACTACCATTTTTTAAGTCTGCTTGTTGCCATAAGATTTTTATGTGAAAATGATAATGTTGTGCGAACCTCAAACCTAGAAAATGCTAGACAACTTATTCGATATTTTGTTGTTAATTCTGGTGAAGTTTATGGATATTTGTTTTGTGCATATAATGCACATGGACTTTTGCAAATTTGTGATGATGTAGAATTTTACGGAGTCTCCCTTGATAAATTATCTGCCTTTAAATTTGAAAACTATCTTTAGAAGTTAAAAAGATTAGTATGCAGCAAACATAATTCTTTGGCTCAAATATGTAAAAGATTGGATGAAATGGCTGATTACAACCATGATAAAAAAGCGACAAGCAGAATGACCACAACCAAAAAAGACTATTGTTTTTTAACTAAGGATAGCGTTGTATTTCTTCAAAATTTGGTTGATGAAGACCACTTTGAGTGTTTGTCTTATAGCATACAATTCACAGATGATAACTTTACTTTGTTCCTTCACAGAATATTGGTATTTGATTTATCAGGAATACCACAAAACCTAGTTTTTACATTAAAGAGAAAATCAGATTTTTACGGATGTATTTATATGAAAGTTAAAGATTTGCTGTTTCTTCTTTGGTGCATTCTGTCTAAATGGAGAGATTCACAAGAACGCAGGTTTTACTTTTGCCATATGCTTTTATTCTTAGTTTTTTTTTAAATGATTTTATCTTTTTTATATATTAGAGTAAAGTAATTTTGATATCAAAAAAAAAAAAAAAAAAAAAAATTTAATTTCCTAAAACGCAATTAGTTTTTTTTATTAGTAAGATTAGGAAATTATTATTATGTTTTTAGTTGAGTTTTTGATGTTCTTCAACTTTGGACAGGCCCTAATATATTTGATTAAAGAGAAGAACCAAAGAAATTTTTTGATTTCAAATAAAATATAAATTACAAAAGACAATAAATAAAATAAAAATGTATATGATAATAAATAATTTAATAAAATAATAAAAATGTATATGATAATAAATAAACAGCTTTTTTATGAATTATTCTAGAATTTTTTTTTAAAGCTGGTACATGAAGTACGACAATTTGAGTCAGTTATTGCGTTATTTTGTAATTTTCTCGCAAGAAAACACAACAAGAAATTTTATTTATTTATCTCATCATTAAACTAACTTCTATTTCATCTCCTTCATACAAAACCAATCGATAATTTATATTATACTACAAACCTCAAATATTCATTTAAAACCGTGTAAACATATTAAATATTGTTACTAATTAAAAATTATGCTAATCACAAACCGCATATTTGTCACTAACTGTTTTTAGACTTAACCACACCATAATTACACTCCTCCATGATCCTCAAGGATCACACAAACCATCAGTCATTCAAGTCATCAGCTCTTATAACTTCATCCGCCGTTTTAAATTTAACCGTTTTTACGTTCTTCGTTCTACAATCTTTGTTCTACGATCTTCGTTCTACAATCTTTGTTCTACGATCTTTGTTCTACGATCTTCGTTTTACAATTTATCTTTATCCGTTACGGCTTCATTTTTCTCTTTAGCCCGGTTAGCTCGTAATTTCCTCGCAAGAAAACACAACAAAAAATTTTATTCATCTATCTCATCATTAAACTAATTTCTATTTCACCTCCCAGTGGGAAAAAAGACATCTTTAGACGAATAAAAGGCGTCTTTTTTATGACTTGTTATGTCTTTTTATAATCAGCCAGAAAAGAGGTCGAAAAGACGTCAATCGGTTATTAATAAGGAAATCATTATTTGCTTAAGAAAATTAAAATTAATTATTGCCACAAAAATGAGTTTTAACCCACAGTATCGTAATTACGATATCTTTGTTACGTTCTAATTGGCCCGTTTTTTGTTTACAAAATACTTTTAAGTGAAACTTTTTTGCATAGAAAATTTAATTAAAAATTAACTTTTTTTCAGTAAGCGGGTTTATTTAATAATTTATATAATAAATTAATATATTATGTAACGTATACATAATACAAAAGCATATATATATTATAGTATATATATATATATATATATATATATATATATATATATATATATATATATATATATATATATATATATATATATATATATGTATATACTGAAATAAATATATAACTCCAGCTGCTTAGTTAAAAAATCTTAATCGGAAGAAGCAAAAGTGAATGGCGTGGTGCCAGTAAGATGGTATCGATATGATCTAGTCTCAATTAAGTTAGTCGCAGGTAAGTGTTTTAAAAAAGTTTGACCATTTATTTTTAGACCAATTTTTTAATGTATTGTGCTTGGAGAACGTTGTTTATTTCAAATTAAATTAATATATTTATTTTCAGACAAAAAATAAAACCTGTAAACAATTTCTCTCTATATTTACTTGTTCAAGTGCCAGTGAAACGAACGATAGAAAAAAAGAAGCATTCAGTAGGCTTGCAATTTTTTTTTATATATTTTTAAATGATCTGAATAGTTTTGTTGCTTTTATTTAGTTGAATGATGAAATTGTTTATACAAAAGATTGGCTCTTCAACTTTAATGTTAAATATGTTATTTCCTTGTTAACTGTTGTCTGTCATTATAAAAATACACATAATGACGACAGATTTATCTTTAGAAATGTTCTCAAAATTTTTGGTTTGGATACAAAAAACCAAGTGAAAATGATACTGGAAAGGTACACTTTCTTATATCTAAACATCATTGCAGCTTTCTAGTCTTCATTTTTGTTTATGTGTATTTCATCTGTGTTGCTAATGATATCGCCAGTTTTTACACTTAGTTTCAGCGAAATTCAGTTAAAAAATCATGTTATAGAAGACAGAAAAATATCAATATCTGTTTTCAATAACTTGGTTTTCATAGCAAATCTGAGAGGTGCAAATGTTTAGCTTGATTTAAGTACTACATAATAAAATACATCGTTGTACAGTCATTTTGATAGTTGTAAATTTATTTAGCACACTCATTTTTATATATTTTCAGACTGTTTACCGTTTAACTCCTTTCCCAGTCTAACCTAGTGGGTTCAAAAAGAAGGGAACGCGCTGGAAACATGAGTGGATTAAAAGGATCAGCCCTTTTTGAATTAAAAATCAGTAAGTTTGTTTATGTTTATGTTTTTTATGTTTTTTTATGTATGTTTGTGTTCTGTCTGAACCTCTGGCGCGGTGTTGGCTCACCCGTAAGTTACTTTATGTTTTTTATGTATGTTTGTGTTCTGTCTGAACCTCTGGCGCGGTGTTGACTCACCCGTAAGTTGATTTATGTTTGTTTGTGTTCTGTTTATACTCTAATGCAGCGTGAGCTCAGTAACTAACTACTTACTCCAACTACAAAACGTACATTCACCTTAGACTCCTGTATTTTGTTAGATGCAGTGTTTTTTCCTAATGCACTTCCAAAATGTCATGCCTGGTTTTCTCAAAGTACTGCTGCGGGAAGTAACTCCTTTTAACTACTCCAGGTCAGGTCAGGATAATCAAGATCAATCTTGCTACTGGTATCACGTAACCCAGTACCACCTGCCACAAACCCTGCTGCCTTGCAGAGTGTGCTCTTCTTATGCAAAGGCTAGGAGAAATAAACTTTGACTAAAAATTCCCCTGCCTTGGGGCTCTTGGTTGAGTAAAGGCTAGAGATGGTGTCTCGATAAAAATACTAATTATGGGCAGATGTTATCTGCATCCTGCTACTGTCTTGCAGAAGGCCTCCTAGGCAAAGACTTTAGGGGTAAGCAGAAAAATTCTGCTAACCAGCCTGGAACCCCTTCTTCATCTATTAGGCTGGCGTAGATGTAACCTGTGTTACATTGTTTCCTGCCTAGGATGATGAATGCTGGATCTCCTTAACTCTACTCATAGAATTTTGCTTATGCCTTCTTGATAATGGCTATGCAACTCTTCCTGTTATCTCCATATGAGGGTACAGCTCTAAAACTCAGTTTAATGGTTCTGAGGCCGGTGGTAGTAAGGTTTCCCGAACTCTGTGGTAGCTCTCAGAGAGGCTGATTCCATCAACAGCTGAAAAATATCGGAGTATTAACAGTGCCATGTTGCGCATGGATGGTGTCCCTGTTAATACTTTTGGTGTGCATTGTCAAGGCCACATAAGGAGCCCTATGTCACGGCTTAGGGTTAATTAACAGGACTGAGACAACTGCATAGCTCATTGATTAGGAGGCTGTGCTCTATCTATGAATGAGTCTAGTTCTCATTAAACCCAAATCATGACCAAAGTAACCAAAAATTTAAAACCTAAAAAACCATCCCCACCACCTAAATATTTTATTATATCTTTTACAAATATTCGCGGTCTACGAAGCAACTTTCCATCAGTTGAGTCTTACCTCCTGCAAAATTCACCAGACTTGCTTGCACTCAGTGGAACAAATTTAAGTTCTGAAATTCCTTCTTCAGATGTCAGTGTTGATGGGTACTATCCTTTGATTCGTAAAGACTCCAATAGTCACATGGTAGGTTTAGGGGTATACATACGCATTAATTCCCCTATTTGTCGTGAAATCAGGTTCGAATCCTTTGACTATTCTTTTATGTGCTTTCGCCTAGCACCTCTTCACTCTATCACCTTTCTCTTTATTCTTTATCGTTCTCCTTCTTCTCATGATTGCACTCTTTTAAATGTTATCTCTGATCAAATTGACGATGCCCTCTCTCTTTATTCCTCTGCCAATATTGTTGTTGTTGGTGATTTTAATGCCCATCACACTGAATGGCTTGGCTCTAACACCACTGATCCTGCTGGCACTAAAGCCTTTAACTTCTGCGTTTCTCAATCTCTTACTCAGATAGTTAACTTTGTGACTCGTTTTTCTGACAACCCTAATCATTTACCTTCACTCCTTGACTTATGTCTTGTCTCTGACCCTAGCTTATGTTCAGTTTCTCCCTTTTCTCCCTTGAAATTGGTTCTGACCATGCAATGATCTCTATAAATCTTTCTTCTCGTACTTCTTTTTTGGGCTCACCTTATCATCGCACCACCTACTACTACCCTAAAGCTGACTGGGATTCCTTTCGTGATTTTCTTCGTGATGGTCCTTGGCCTTGATGTTTTTTCTCTCTCAGCTGACAAATGCGCCTCCTACATAACCTCCTGGATTCAGGCTGGAATGGAAGCTTTTATTCCTTCTTGTCGGTTTCAAGTCAAGCCTCATTCTACTCCATGGTTTTCTCCTTCTTGTGCGGCTGCTATATCCAATTGTAATCATTTTTTTCATCTTTTTCAAAAGAACAACTCTCTTGAGAACAAACGGCTATTTATTATTGCAAGAAATCGATGTAAAAAGGTGCTTTCTGATGCTAAACTCCATTATTCTCAGTTCACAAAATCTCGCATCTTATCGCAGAAGTTAGACTCTAAAGACTTTTGGAAAATCTTCAACAGCATTGTTAACAAGGGTAGATCTAACATTCTATCTCTCTTTCATGGGACTGATCTTATTACCTCTCCCAAGGATAAGGCAGAAATATTTGCAAAGAACTTCCCTTCTAATTCCACTCTTGAATCTTATGGACATTCTCTTCCTTCCATTCCAGTCAAACAGGTTGACCCATTGTTAGACATTCAAATCACTCCGGCTTCTGTTGCTAAAGTCATATCTCAATTAAACTCGTCTACAGCTTGTGGTTCAGACAACATTCCTGTCACAGTCTTGCAGAATTGTTCTCCAGAACTTTCTTCAATTCTCTCTAAGCTATTTAACAAGTGTTTGACTGAGTCTTGTTTTCCTGCTTGTTGGAAAATGGCATCTGTGGTTCCAATATTCAAAAACTCTGGAGAAAATTCTGAACCCTCCAATTATCGTCCGATCAGTCTTCTTTCTGTTATTAGCAAGGTCTTTGAGTCTTTGATCAACAAATTCCTCACATCTCATCTTGAGTCAAATAAACTGCTGTCAGACAATCAATACGGTTTTCGATCCTCTCGCTCTACAGCCGACTTGCTAACTGTTGTAACTGAAAGATTTTATCGTGAATTAGATGGAGGCGGTGAGGCTAGGGCTATTGCGCTCGACATATCTAAAGCTTTCGACAAAGTTTGGCATGCTGGTCTTCTCCATAAGCTTGCTTTATATGGTGCTTCTAGGAACGTTTTTGAGATTATCAAATCATTTCTTTCTAACCGGTTTATTAAAGTCGTCCTTAAAGGCCAACACTCTTCTTTATTTCCAGTAACTTCTGGGGTTCCCCAAGGTTCCATCCTGGGCCCTGTTTTGTTTCTTATCTACATAAACGATCTTCCTGACAACCTTTCATCTAAAGTAGCTCTTTTTGCTGATGACTCAACTTTATACTCCTGTCTTGACAAAAAGTCTTCTCTTTTCGATCGCCTAGAACAAGCAGCTGATCTTGAATCTGATCTCACTTCAGTAATAGATTGGGGTTCACAGTGGCTTGTGAATTTCAACTCTAAAAAAACCCAATTGCTTACTGCAAACAACTACCGTAATATGGTCAACATTCCTATATTAATGAATGGCAATCCTCTTACTGAGTCCTCCTCTTTACGTCTTCTTGGATTATCGCTTTCTACTGACCTTTCATGGAAACCATATATACAATCAATTGATAAATTAGCTTCTGCTAAGGTTGCTTCTCTTTATCGTGCTTGCCATTTCCTTACTTCTGATTCCATTCTCTACCTCTACAAATCTCTTATTCGTCCCTGTATGGAATACTGTTGTCATATTTGGGCTGGTTCTTCTAACGATTCACTTTCTCTTCTTGACAAGGTCCAAAAACGCATTGTAAATGTTGTTGGACCTGGACTATCTGCTAAGCTTGAACCTCTTTCCCATCGTCATAAAGTTGCATCTCTTTCTCTTTTCTACAGATACATCATGGTCACTGTCAAAGGAGTTATCATCTCTAGTTCCATCAACTAAAATTCATTCTCGTTTTACTCGTCATTCAGCTAAGTCTCATTTGTTTACTGTATCTGTCCCTGCATGCTCTAAAAACTTTTATTCATCTAGTTTTTTTCCCCGCACTTCAATCCTTTGGAACTCTCTCCCATCTTCATGTTTTCCTGACTCATACAACCTTCAACTTTTCAAGTCTTCTGTCAACCGTTTCCTTGCTGTTCTTTTTTTTTCCTAGTAACTTCCAACTTAATAGTGGTTGCTTGCAGCCTTGTTGGGAGTGAATGCAAATAAAAAAAAAAAAAGTATAATGTGCTCCACTCAGCTAATCAAGTTTTGTTTGCTTTTTTTGTATTACATTTAAGCAATAGACTGTTTTTTTATGTTCACTCGTTTTTTAGAAGTGATAACCAGTTAGAAGTCGTAACCTGCTCGTATGAAAGGATTTCTCGACGTGAAATTGTTAATTTTATTCAACAACGCCAAGAAACAGAGCTCGCTCAAGAAACAGAAAAGAAAAAAAAAGATGAAAAAAATTCTGTTGAACAATACTATTGCTTTATTTATTATTGTATTATAAACCTCTAAAAGAGGTTTTTTTCTCGGCATCGGAAAAAGCTTTTTCTCATACTTTGTATAAAGAGGTATTGTCATTTTCATTTGATAATAGCTTTTCATATAAGAAAAAAATAGCTTTTCATATAAGAAAAGTGTGAATGCTATAGGATACTATAGATTACTAATAAGTATGGCAAAAAAGTTGTTCCGACCCCGAGAAAAAACACTTTTTTAGATTTGAATGTTCGACTAAAAAAAAGCGTCTTAAAGGCGCATTTTTTATGTCTTTTCATGACAAGATTAAGATAAAAAAGACGTCTTTTCGATGTCGAAAAAAGATGTCTTTTAAATTTGCATATTCGAATAAAAAAAGTTATCTTAAAGACGCATTTATTATGTCTTTTCATGACAAGATTAAGATAAAAAAAGACGTCTTTTCGATGTCGAAAAAAGATTTGCATAATCTATTAAAAAAAACGTCTTAAAGACATCGTAAATTAGACATTTAAAGACGTCTTTTCGACGACTTTTTTCCCACAGGACTTCTACTTACAAAATCAATCGATAATTAATAATATACTACAAACCTCAAATATTCATTTAAAACCGTGTAAACATATTAAATATTATTACTAATTAAAAATTATGCTAATCACAAACCGCATATTTGTCACTAACTGTTTTTAGAGTTTACCACAGCATAATTACATATTATACCAGCTTAGTTTTATTAGCAAAGATTGTCGAGTAAAGTAACGTACACAAACTTACTGTAAAAGGAAAAGATTTAAGGGAAATACTAATCTGTTATTATTGGTTGTGTAAACAAAATATGGTAATATTGTTTGTGTTTTTGATAGTGTAAATATTGAGTTGCCATTAACAAATTTAAATGCTACACTTGTCTTTTGAAACCAAGTATTGAAAACTCACTTAGTTTGTCCGCTTCATCTCGTTAAGTGATAAACTTAAAAAATGCACTTGTTTTGAAACCTAGTATATCTAGCTACCGTATCATTGATGCTGCTGTTTTAATTTCTGTTTTGATTTTTTTTTCTGTATTTGGAATGTGATATCCTCATTAGGCGAAATCCTCATTAGGCGAAAGATATAATAAACAATAATCCTCATTAGGCGAAAGATATGATAAACAATAAGTTTATCTTGTTATATCTTAAGTGTCTGAAAAAAGATTGCAACTATGTTCGTCAATTTTACACCTCTATCATAGTCCAGGAGTAAGACTCAAAAAACTACTGTTTGTGGAAAATTTTTTTATAAAGCTGAAACTTTGCGTAGTGATTCTCTAAGGTATATAATAGACACGTAAAAAAAATGCCCCATGATTCCCAACAGGAAAATCCGCTTTTTTGCTTATTATAAAATTATAAAATGACGCATGCGCTGAAAAGAAAAAAAAAACTGAGTTCAAATATAAACTTACGATATACCATTTTAAAGTATTTTTTATGCGGAGCAACTTTTAAAAAGACACTAAGGTCTTAAAATGAACGAGTGACTAGTTATTTAACAAATAAATGCTTTACAATCAAATTATAATTAATTATTAATAAGTAATAAAAAATGGTCTGAAAACCTAGCCTATAAAAATAACAACATGTTTGAAAATATTGAAAGTTAGGTTAGTTAGGCCTTTCACAGATAACTTCAATACACTAACAGGTGTATTGGTAAACTCCAGTGTGCAACATAAAGAAATCGGAAAGTCAAGAACAAAGCAAGATTACGAAGATTGTAAAAAGTTTTATGAATGGTTAGTTGATAGAAACCCATTCTTTATTTCTGATCAGAAGTTTAGTTGATCGAAACCTATTCTATCTCCACTCACTGTCAACTGATATCGTATTATTTACTTATAAAGATGGTGTAAACTGCGAGCTTGCTGAAGAAGTTGGTAAAAGTATTCAGAATGGGCTGGATAACGTGTTTTTTGAATACGCAAAAAATAAAAAGAAAAGTCAAATCATAACATTGGACTCATTGCTGCATGTAAAGGTAAAAAGTAGTAAAGAAACAATAGGAGAACCAAGCATAATGTTTAATCGGCTAATAACTGTCGCAGCACGTAAAGATGATTTAGAATCAATACTTAAATATGAATAAACTTATGAGCCTATGTCACTTATTAAGCAAGGCATGATGAGAAAGCCAGATAAAACATCCCTTTGCAAAGTAATAATGTGAGACGAAGATGCTGTTAAATATGAAGATATAAAGACTCCAAACCACTATGTTTTAGATGGCGGTGCATTGCTACATAGGGTTAGACGGTTTCAAGGAATGAAATTCAATGCCGTAGCAGATGTTTATTCAAATTTTATAAAAAAAAAATTACCAGGGATTCGTCAAGGTTATTTTTGACGGCTACCAAGATGAAGGCACAAAGACTCACAAGCATCTACGCAAAAATTCTATTCCACAAAGTTGCAATGTAGTAATTAACCACGATAAATTTGTGCCGTTTACTCAGGATTGTTTTTTAAGAATTATTGAAAACAAAGCCAATTTCATATACTTTCTTTCACATCATTTAAATCAATTGGGGTATTTGACTGTAAACTGCCCTGGTGATGCTGATAACACCGTTTTAAAACGGCTCTCGATATCGCAAATACAAGCTTGCAGCATGTAACTGTTGTGGCTGATAACACAGATATCGCAGTGATGCTTATTCATCATTGGAAAAGCAACATGTCTGACATTTACTTTTTGCAAGATAAATGAAATAAAGCTTGGAAACCATAAAACAACACCTGCTCTTTGTCTATGCATGGTTGGGGTGTGACACTGTTTCATCTGTGTTTAGAAAAAGTAAAACAAAACTAGTTGAAAAATCTCGGACGAGAAATGCCAAAAGATATCAGAAGTAATGACAAGTCCATGGAGTAATCAAGAAGAAGTTGGAAACGCCTCGATTAAAGGTTTTATTTTGTTATATGGAGGAACAAAGGGAAGCACACTTGCAAAATTGAGGTAATTATTTTTTATCTAGCATAGAAATCCTAATTGTATAAAAATAATTATCTTACTTAATTTTATTATTTATTACCGGAAAGCATTATAAATAAGATCACTGAAAATAAAACAAATGTGTGTATATCTAACATATAAAAAGATTTTAAAAAATTTAAATTGTTTTTTTAAAGAGTTTAAAGAGTTACAGTAACTTGATTAAGATCATCAAAAACAAATTTCACTGCAAAAATCCTTTTAAAATTATTGAAGCCAAAATTTCCATTTTAAAGTTCAACAGCTTTAGTTAAAGAAAAAACAAATTTGTTTTAAGTTTGTGCTACAAAAATGCTGAACAATTAAAGAGATATTGTTTGATAGTGGTTTGCAAAAACTTTTTGTTGAGGATATTACTTTTTACGTTTGTTGATTGGTATATCACTATATCATAAAGGACAGCTACCAAAAATTATTGAAGCCAAAATTTATATAGATACACAAGCACATATTTGGCAACTAAAAGAAAAAAACATTAACCTTAAATTAAACTGGTCTATTCTAAAAACTGCACCTGCCTATAAAAAAATTTCCAAAAAATGTATACCATGTTTACAAGAAAAGTTTGAAATTATTACTCATTTAGATCAAGAAAATTTACTGCATAAAAAATCTAAATTTATTTCTAAATGCAGACATGAAAAAAAGTTCCTTTAAAAAAATTATAAAAACAATGTGTATACACTGTGGTCACTAATTAATGACATTTAACTAGATGTAACTGAATGGGGTTGGAAGAAACACGACGGAGTAATCACACCTATAATGAACGACAAAGACATTGCGCCAGAAGCACTAATAAAGTTCATTAGATGTAATTGCAAGGTTTGTTTTGAAATTAATGTATTTTTTCAAACTCCTTGAAAAGATCTTACAAAACTTTATCTATATAATTTAAGATGAGATATTTTTTATCTCTAACTACAACAATTTCCTTTTTCGCTAATCATTAAGACAACAACAAAAAACCCATGTGGTGGCAAAGCATGTACGTGCAGGAAATACGGAATACGGTGCATGCAATTTTGTAGGGAATATCGTGGAACAGAATGTATGAATAGCAAGATAAATTTTGAAAAAAAAATTACTTAATGTATTGTTTATAAAATTTATTTGTTAAATAACTAGTCGTCCTTTCATTGTAAGACCTTAGTGTCTTTCAAAAAGTGGTTCAGCATAAGAAATCCTTTAAAATGGTATATAATAAGTCAATTTTCAAAAATATATTTTTTTGACCATTTTGGGCATTCGTCATTTAGAAATTGGGCCTAAAAAGGGGGTTCTTCTATTGGGTATTGTGGGGCATTTTTTTTACGTAATCTATATACCTTAGTATATAGATCACGTAAAGTGTATAGATCAGAAAAAGTTTCAGCTTTATAAAAATATTTTACCGAAAATAATCTTATTTGACTGAACTAATCAATGATTACAATAAAAAAAAAGATTTGATAATAATAAGCAAATAATTTATTGCATGTGATTATTGGGCTATGGATTATTGTTACCTAAGACTATGACCAAAACAATTTTGAAAAATTACTAAAAGTAGTTGTAACAGATGTTTAAAATTGTAACAGAAAAAGCCATAATAAATGCTGCAAATAAATTGCAAAAAATATATGGCACTGACTGATATTTGTGCATCTTGTGATGGTACTAAATCTTTTCTACTGTTAGTGGCAAAGTGTTAGATGTTGAAGTAATGTCCAGATATTGTAAAGGGTGCAGTGTAACTCAAGGCATCCAAAAGTCTAACCTAACTGCGTATGCACAATGGAGAGCTTTACAAATTTCTAAGTATACGTAACTACCAAGTTTAATGCAAGCATAATGCTGATAAAATAAATGAAACAACATAAGCCAACATAGATTAACAATTTTACCAATGGGCGTTATTATGAAAGTAAGATATACATATGAAAAAAAAGTGCGTTAAAAAGACAGTGAATTACAAAAAT